TACATGTTGCTACCTGAATTTTCACATGCAATACAGTGGAGAAAATTGGCCCAGAAGGGCTCCAGCCCAATGTTGCATGAAAGTCTTCTCTTGAGGAAAAGCATTCTACAAGGATTCCATTTTCTGAGGAGACACAAAGAGCATACTTTACTCATGAGGAGTTCTGACAAGTGTAAACCTCTTGTCAGGTCTTCATAACTTCCAGATAATGTAAGCAGACACTCCTCACTTCCTCCCTAAAGAGAAATCTGTCAGTTATTTCTATGCCTTAACCATTAAAGGGCCTGTATTTCAAATTAAAAGTCTTTTCATAACTTCAGAAAATGCCCAGAAACCTTGCATGTGGTTTCTGGCAAATCTCAAACACAAATGAGAGCACTGCATTCACATAAGTAATATTGTAGCTAGTGATGGTTGAAAACAATGAAAACCAAGTTACAGAATACTTTAAATGTCAAGGTGACTTGAATTTCATGATATTCAGCTTTTTCTTAATTTTATGAAGGCTTTACAAAGTTTTTACAGAAGTTACAAAGGTTTTACATTTCTCCAAACCTGTTGTTATTATCAACTGCAATAAAGACAATCAAAAGAACAGAAGTTCCATTTAAATTTCTTTTGTTTCTTTTGCCATTATGTGTCTTTTAAAATGTTCTCCAGTTTTCAAAATGACAGCAATATGGAAAGTGATTTTTTTCCCCTCCTTTTTTCATATTTTGATAGTCTATTTATCCAGTCACAAGGTATTTCATAGCAATTACAGACAAGCATAATTAAAAAAAAAAAAAAAAGAAGGGAAAAATGAAATTTAACAAGAAAAAAGGAAAAAGCTTTTAGTCTGCATTTTTTTATGTTCAATTCATAAAAGGAAAGAAAGAGGGAAATACATGAAAACACCAAACCCTTGACATTTGATTTTGAACATTTTCAACACCAGTGAATGTGTGGGATATTAAAAGTAAAACCAAATAAATCCTGAAAACAGTTGATGTGCTTCCTCAATCACAAAAAGGCAAATGGAGCCAGGGTATACAACTGACAGGCTTGCATTCAAAAATGTGCATAATAGTAAATCAGTTCTTGAGTGGAGTATATTTTCTCCATGAATAGGAGCTGGTAGTCATACCTCTGTTTGCTTCAAGCTTTCCATGGGAGGTATCAGTCTCACGCGAGGCAATATCATCTCACTTTGGTTACTATGGAAACTGGTTGTGCATGGCTGCAACTGTAGGCACTGGGTCCAACCAGGCTTTTTTTATCTTTTTCCATTTGGGGCTGCCTTAATGATCTTGTAATATATGACATGTTGCATAAAACAGTGTTCTTTATTCTCAAAGAGGCAATGCACTTTGCAGATTTCAGTGTTTTAGAAATGGCTTTCCAGTTGGTACCCAGCCCTTCTGCTGTGTGGAGTTTTGAGTGCCTATTATAGCTTGAATGACCTGATTGAGAAGAAAAAAGGGTTGGTTTCCCCCAAATATTTATTTATTTTTAAAATATTAATTATTAATTAATATTTAATTGTTGTCACTTTACATGCAGTCAGGGTTTTTCTTGGAAAGTGGAAAAAGTGTGTGTGAATTCTCTTTGACTTGGGAAAGATGTACTGCCAACACCAGCAGGCAGGATTTGGGCCAGTGAAAGGAGAAGCGATACCACTCATAGCCACTTGCCCTTTTTCTGGATTTGCTGGCCCAGCTGGGTCACACACCAGCTTCCACCCAGTGGAGGTGTAAAGAAGGTGTGGAGTGGTGGGGAAGCTTAATGTAAAAGTGGAGTAGAGGAAACTGATAAAAATAACTGTTTTTTAGAGTGGTTTTAAAGGTATAGCTTAAGCTATGTGTGCCTCAATCTAACAAGGTCTTTAAAAGTTCAAAACTCTCAAACCTCCTTCTGAATGCTTTTATTTCAGCATCTACATGTTCATCCGTACATGGGTTACATGGGAAGTAGCAGCTGTTTTACAGAGTCAACTTTGGGGTTTGTCTGTGCCACTGGGACTCTTGGAGCAGTTCCTGAGAGTATGGCTTTGAGATCTGTCTCTTGTTTTAGGAAGCCTGTATGAAGCTTAGAAGATTGTCTGATCTAGTGAAATGTTTCTTGTCTTTGACTAGCAGGGGGACAAGAACTAGATAATCTATCAGGCTCCTTCCAACCCAAACAATTATGTGACTATGATTCTAAGATGGGCTTGTGTAGCTATACCCAAATGCCATGGTCACCTCTGGACTTTGTCTCGTTCGCACAAGCCTGAGCAGACTAGCTGGTCATCTTGATATGAATAGTTGCCCCTTACAGCTCAGCTGCACTCCCTGATTAATCTGTATGACAGCCTGTGCCATCCAAAATGAGTTTAGTCAGCTGCCTACACTGCACAAACACAACATTGACTTGATGGCTCTCTGGTCCCACTCCTGGAGCCAGATGGAATGAGCCTCTTTGACCTTCTAGGCACATCAGAGCTGTTCAATGTCAGTTATAGCTTTCTAGAGCAGTGAATGAAAAAAAAAAAAGTATACTGTTGACATTTTATTAACTTGAAGGATTATACTTTCAGCAACATTCCAGAAAATAGTTTATCTATGGTGTATTATCTGTTGCACCCACATTTGAATTTCAATACTCATCAGTTCATAAGCAGAAACAACTTCAGAGAAAACAGGGACAGCATTTATCATGTTGTGCTGTTTACCACTGTAAAGAAAACAGAGGAGTGTTCCTATTCTGTCATACCTATATTCTCTTTGTCACATTACAGTCTCCTGATGGATAGCTTTGCTCATTGCTTTTTCAAGCTTTTGTCCACACACACAGGTAAAATGACTTATCACAAAGGTAGCGCTACTGAGGATGCCAGTTAGTCTTTTGGTTACTTCAGAGACCAATTCTGTTTTTCTTGTCCTTCATCTTACATTTTGAGCAGAAGCTTTCTTTTTCTGAGTGCCTATGAATTGCATAGGAAAAAGAGGGTAATGGGTTTTATCTCTGCCAATATTGATCCCCACCGCTGCAATTTCCTCTTCCATGGTGCTGGGTGTGCTCTATTTCCCCCAAGGACACTGAGACCTCTCACCTGGGGACTGGCTCCCAGTCAATGTTTAGTGTTGGTGCTTCTGATTCCATGCTGAACTGGTGATCGGGTATGATCTCTGGCCCATTTGTTCTGCCAGGAATACAGAGTTGTAGAATAAGCTAAAAGCAAGTTATGTTGTAACTAATTTCTTACTATCTCATTTAGCTTTATGGGCACAGGAAAGGGCAAAAAGGAGAAGAGGCAGGCTGACATGCTTTTGTTCACAAAGCTTGCAAGCTAAAAAACAGTAGTTGGTACTCCTCACAGTAATTTCTGATGTGTTTCTGATACGTTTCCTCATGCTTTTCTGATATTTTTTTTCTGTATTGTGGAAACAAATCAGTGTAGCTTCCGTGTGTGTACAGATGTGAGGGGGAATTCTGTTGCGCCCCTTTCCCAGCTCTCTGATGCAGAAGACAGAAATCGGGGAAAAAAGCATTCCAAGAGAATATATGAATGGCAGCAAAACTGACACAGCAGGAGGGCTGGGGGTAGCAGCAGGTGGAACAGGAGAGAGGGTAGACACAGACATCAGAGAAGGAAGATACACACATTCAGGAGCAGCTTTGAAAGAATAATTTTGTTAAGATTTAACAAGTTAATCGCTGCATGCTAATTACTCTTAATGAAAAGATTAAAAATAAAAGCAATTTATCTCATTCCAAAATAATTAGCCTTAATAACTTGTTTGTACAGCATATAGAAAGAGATTTTGATGGGAATCCGCCCAACATCTGTGTATGCACAGTGTATATACCAGCAATACGTTCTTGTAAAATGTCTGACAGATGTGGGATCATCAGCTTTGCTGAGACTTTAACAGGGTTCCAGGGATCTGAGCACCAAGTTATTCTGATTTTTTGTCAAGTTTGCAGGTGCTCATGTTTCTGAAAATGAGGATCATCTTTCTGTATTTTCCCTTGTGTATGTATGTTGCATTAGTCTTGCTCTATGTCTTGGGAAACCAAGGAGACCTTAAGGGACTTCATCAGGAAGATTACAGAATCACTGTTGGGTTTGGGATCTGCCTTCCTGGCACCTGTGGCAAGATTTGTGCAGATTTCCAATCCTGCATGGTTCATGCATACCACAAGTTTGAGCAATAATATTCTTCTGGTAATGCTGATAAGTGACATCAATTCCCTTTGTTATTGTTGTGAAGTGATTTATCTGGTGTGTAATTCAATTTCTTTACACACAAGGTAAAGTTAATATAGCACTTAGTGCCTCTTGTATTGAGTCATTACAGCTGTCAGTCAGATCACTGGTAAGGCAATCTGAGGGGTAAAAGTGTGAAATGGCAGGGATTTCTCATCCAGGTGTCTTGAGTAATTGAAGCTATCTACAGAGAAGTCTTGCTGGGTAAAAAAGGGCAGAATATTATTAACATCATTAGGGCCCTTAAAACACTGAATGAATGATAAAGGTGTTGAGGAGGATAATGAGTCTAGGTGAGTATCACCTGTGGAGATTCCTTATTGAACAGCCCTGCTTAAACCATCCATTTGTTAATGGCTCTGACTTGCACATTTGTTGCCACCCTGGCTACTGCTGGAGAATTGGGCAGTCCAAGTAATCTGAACAAGCAGTGCTGGCTACCACTTTGACTATTCCTCTGCATTTAGGTCTTCTACACATGAAAGGAGTGCTGCCTCCTTCCAGCTGTCCTTCACCCTCCACAGCAAGCTGGACACATACCTTCCTGGTTTCTGCAGGCTGTGCTAAGCAAGCTGCAGCAGCAGCAGGTGGTTAAGCTGATGCAGGGCACAGTCTTTGTCCTAAGGAGCCTTATCAGAGTTGTTCTCTTGCAAATTGTTTTTAGGTGGAGATATCATCTGCTGCACCTGGATAAGTGGGCTTGAAGCCTCTTAAATGTTGATGAGGAAGGTTAGCTGGAGTGGGCAGAATGAGGAGGGTTAGGGCTGTGATGGGTCTGCTCTCTTTGTGGTGCTCTGAGGGTGCCTACCTTAGGTCCTTTGCTCGATTTCTGCTGGGATTCCTAGGCTTCATCTTCTGGGGTACTGCTGCAGCTCAGATGTTTGGTGGAGTTTCAGTGATCCTGATGCTCAAGAACTACAGATGTTTATTTCAGGAGTCTTACTTGTCTCTCCCTGGTTGGTTGGCTCTTGCAACTGCACTTATGTTGCTACCTACTGGAGTTTTGGCTGTCTCTATTTCTGTTAAGTGTTCCCGCAAACAGCAAGGGACTCTCATGTACTTGCTGCTGCTCCTTCTTTGCTTAGAAATGTCTTCGGCAACTCTGGCAGGTTTCTACTGTGTTAGGACAGCTTCTCAGCTGGAAAGTGCTATGGGTTACCTTGTTCACCAGCACAAGTGGACGTGCTCCCAGGATCCTGGAAATGGTGCTATGGATGTGATACAGAGGGAGCTGCAGTGTTGTGGGGTCCACAACTACACAGACTGGCTAAAGGCATCATCCTCTTTGTACTATCCAGCTTGTGTCCCTGAAAGCTGCTGTAAGGAGGAGCATTCTCACTGCAGGGGAGACTTAGACCATGTGGAGCAGCTTTCTGAGGAAGGCTGTCTAAAGAAGCTGGAAGACCAATTGTATTTTTCCATGCTGTACATTTTTTGGTGTTGTACTGTGCTAAGCATCTTGGAGCTCTTGGCTGCTGTCAGCAATGGCATCCTCATGAGACGTCAGCCATTCCATGAACTTCGTATTCTGGACTCGTACACCTTCTTACAGGACTATTGGTACTAGCTACTTTGCTGGACCTGCTACATGTTTCCGTGGCTTTTTACTACTTCATTGTTGCATTGGAACAAAATTAAAAAAAAAAAAAAGCATAAATAATAATAATTGTAAATCAAACTAGTTGATCACTGCTGGATTTTTTTTCTTTAGTGTCATGATCTCAGATCAGTTCTCCCACAGTTTTTTTTTCACTAAGCATTCTGTATCTGAAAATCTTCTGGGGATGAGTCTTCAGCATGTGCAGACACAAAACCACTATATGTGAGTACAGGGGAAGCAGTAAGAAAAGATGTATCTGGCTCCGGGCAACTTGTTGTGAGGCTATGAGCTGTACTTTTGGTCTGAATCTTAACTGTACTAGAATCTTGGAGAGCAATTAATGTACAGATTCTTCTGCTTCCAAGCTTGTGTTGGAAGCTTTGGTTTTTCTATAAGAAGCCCTTTAGATAAAGTTTAATATTTATTTTTCTTTTTTCTTGCTCAAATGCTGGTTTAAGTAACTGATTCTCCAGTGAAAATCCATGTCAGTTTTTGAAGTGGCATGAAGGGTACAATCTAAATAGGTTTGACAGCAACAGAGTAAATAATACGATGATGAGCAGCAGGAGGTAAAGCAGCCTTGGGAGTTGCACAGGAATAATTCCCAAATAATAGGGCAAGAAAGTCTGTCTGTATTAATTCATTTATTTCATGACAGAGCAAGGAATGAGTCAATTATTTTTTGCCAGAAAAGTAATGTGGGGCCACGTGAGTGCTTGAATTATACTAGAAATACACTGCTTTTTCTTAAGGTACACCTGTCCTTCTTACTAAATCCCCTTGTTACCCATTTTCTGTCAGTCTCCCTCCAGCCTGCATGTGCTGAAAGGGACTAAGTTAGCATGTGGAGTACTCATATGCTTGTTTATTGGTGTTTAGAGATGTGCTGGCAAAGGCTCTGTCCTACCTGCGTTGGACTGCGCAGTGTGTGCTTGTATATATGTGTCTATTTGGAAGGTGTCTTAAGCCTCTCTGCTGACCTGGGAATGGGCACTCCAGCAGCTTTATCCTTTGGTAAGTGTGTGTAGGAGATCTCCAGGGCCTACAGCTGCACCACATTAGGTTTTACTGGACTGGAAACAAGGAAAAGGTCTGGGTCACAAAAACTGCTGGACCTGGCAACTCCCTTAGTGCTTGAAGTTCAATCATTATTGCTCTAAGTTTTTCACCAAGCTTCAAGTAACTTAGAGCAAATTTCAGACCCTAGATCACCAGAAACTGATTTTCATGAGTGGAAAAGAGAAAAAAACAGAGACCATTAGGTCAGTTCTTGAATGCTAATTATTAGCCATTGGAAACAACAAACATAAAAATATACTGCAAAGCTTCTCCAGTAAAAAAAACCCCAAAACAACAAACAACAAACCCAAACCAACCAAAAAACCCCACCAAAATCCAAAAACCTTCTTTCAAACCTACCTCAAACAATTAAGGTATTGCTTTAGATAAAGGAAAATAACTAATTCATTAGACAGAGTAGTTCTTAAATAAAGAGGGAATGACATGGGATGGGTGTGGCAAAGAATGATGTTTGTCTAGTTAAGCACCACAATAGGGACTTTGTGGTACCCTGGCACATAAATGCTTTGCAATGCAAATTACTGTCATGACATTAAAAAGATGCAATGAAAATGAAGTGAGAGTAATAGGCCCAGGGAAAAAGATTTTATTGGAGAAAGTGGAAGAATGGAGTAGGTAAAGTACCTTTTTACCATTTGCCTTTATTATAGGAGGTTATTATTCTTCTCAAATCCTATACCTTACAACTTACTTCACAGTTTCTGAGCCAGAGTCTCTTAGAGGAGAATGCCCATATTTTTTGTCACTAAGCAGAAAGTAATAATTTCAAGGGGATTGAAAAGTGTTATGTGGATACCTTCATCTATTCTGTCTGCTAAAAGTTGAGGTCATTCATGATTCCCTCTATTCTTACTGTACTAAGAAAATGGAAATATAAATATTAAATTAATTAACTGGACACTAAATATATGAAATGGCTTTTAGTAGTTATTTTTTCCCTTGCATATTCTTCCCTGTAGAAGAGCACATCTTAAGCCTAGTAATAAGTGTGAGGATGCATGAGACAGACATAATCCAGCTAAAAATCGTTGATAGTAGAGTAGAAGACAAAGCAATAGGTTTATTACTCCTTTGATGTTTTGCAGTTTGATTCTGAATACTTACTTTTGGACAGGAATAACTCCTTTTGAAATAAAAATGCTTCTGAGCAAGTGCACTTAGTTTCTGTATTCTAAGATACATAAATCCTTGGGTGCTATTCCATTCTATGCATTTTGTATTAATTCTGAAAGGCTCACCAGCTGTTTTTCATAATCTAAAAAAATTAGCAGCATATAGGAAGGCAGCAGATGATTTACAGCTAATATTTCTGAAAATTGTGTTGGTTTAGATTTGAAGGGGAAAAACTGATATCTAGTGCAAAGCTGTGATTACTCTTTTACAGAGCTTTTATATATCTATATCTATCTATCTACCTATACATATATATGTATATATCCATCCCATAGATTCCATGCATGAGCTGGTGATTATACTGTGATATCTTTTGTAGAAGGCAACAGTCAGAAAGGTAGAATTGTTTCTGAAATGTAAAATACATTTTTGCAGCTTTTTCTCAACTGTCTTTCTGTCTTTCCCTCTTTCTAACTTTTTCTCCAAGAACTCTGTATTTTTCCCCTTATTCCTTCATTGTGAATGGTGGCTTGATTTAACTCTGAGTAGAACATAATTTAGCTTCTGAATTATGAGTTGTTCTTCATCAAATCTCTTGTCTTTTCAGTTAAAAATTAAATTCTGTCTCATAAACAGAAAGCAGAAAATCTAGGCTTTGCTAGAAGGTGATTGAAGACTCAGTCCCCGCCTATATTACATGGATATTGTTAAATCAGTTAAAATGACTCTTTAATTGAAATTATGGCTTTTGTAGTCTGTTGTAAAGTTGCACTATGTAGAGTAGCAGGAGGTTGTAGAGTTACACTTCGTATTTTCTTGAAAAATTTGGCTTGCACATCTAGGTTAATCTCCTTCCTACAAAGTGGAATTACACAGGGCAATAAAGAAGCTGAGAGAAGAAAGGAAATCTAACTGTAAAGTATCACAGTATCATCCTGGAAGATGATGCAAATAATTTTTGACCTAAGAAGTACAGAGAATGAGCTGAGCTACTTATTCAATTATGTCAAATGATCAGCATTCATTTATTAAATGATGTAAAGTGAAATTCAATTAGAGCAAGTAAGTGATTACATTATGTAAAGCAATTTTTAAAACTGGGTAATATGAAAACCATTTATTACATTAGGTTCAGAATATTGGATATTGGTACTTTAATTGAATTCATGGAAATGCTTATGATGGACTAGTTAAAAGAGTTTGCAAGTGAAGCCACTCCTCCTTGTATTTCTTTTTTGGTATTGAATGTGCTGCTATCACTTTCAAAGCAAAGGCTCAGATTTTACTATGACATTGTTCTTAAAGTAAAATCTTGTAAACAGTACTTGTAAAGCTAGTCAATAAGATGTCCAAAACATGGGGAAAAGGATCACCAATTAACCATCTTAGCAGAGGGGAGACAAGGGGAAAAACTGAGTGCTAAAATTGCAATCTGATAGAAAACATACTAACATATTATGAAAATAAACTATCTTAGTATCTTTCCACAAGACTGGATTTTCTATTTTTCAGACAAATAGGATGAAACAATCAGATTTGAAGATTTTATTGAGACTTTTCTGGAGTGGGAGAATGTGATTTCAACCTCTGTGGGCTGACAAGAGGGTCACACTTTTTCATACTATTCTGTTAGCGCATTTTCCTGTGATTATACTTGACTAAGGCGAAAAACCGCCTCATTATATCTCTTAAAGTGTCCTCTTTTGCTACTCTGCCATTCGTGTTGTAGAGCTGGGTTGGAGGTGTAAAAAAATATTAGAAATATGATCCATTATTAAATGGTCTTTTTTCTCCACTGTACTTAGTAAAAGAATATTTGTCTAAGGAGTCAAATACCAATTTATTTCTTAAATTCAGGTATTCTTGCAGCCAGAACTTTTTAATGTCTCAAGGAATGTGTGCTTACTGTATGAAGCAGGTGCAAAATCCCTAGGAGCCTATGGAATTCTAAAATTAATCTAAGTGTGCAACTTTATGCTGATTACTTGCAGAGCTGTGTGGCAGAAAATAGCATTCCAAATTTTAGGCAAGAGTTATTGCACAAGTGGCTCAAAACCATGTGCAAGTAGAAAAGATAATATTTTAGGACATCTGGAAGTATTATTTTAAATATGTAGAGCATTTCCCTTGGCTGACAGAAGTTAAAAAAAAAAATGGTTTGGTTTTGTTTTGTGTGGCTCTCCCCTGCTCTGCATAGGATTTTCATGCAGAAGGAAGCCTGGAATGTCTGTGTGAGAGAAGGGAGAGGACGCAGTGACTGTTGGGCTGTAATTGAGGAGAAAATGCTGAGAGAAAGTAGTGCAGTAGTGTGAATGCAATAACAACAACTATACAAACAAATAAAATGGAAACCAGAAGTTTTTTATTTCTGTGTCTCAGTAATCATAGTCATCTGTTAATAATTTGAGGTTAAAAATTCCACACAATGAAATTTTGAGATTGGAAAAAAAGTTCTTTAACCTCATATCATAGCAACTGCTGAAATATCTAGCCACAGGATGCCTCTCAATTTAGCATGGTTTGAATTTATTATCTTCCCCGAAAAATTTATTTTAAAGTTATAACATTATGAGCTTCAACATTCTATAAGAAGAAAATATATGTAAGTATTCTTTTATGTATGGCGAGCTGTATTTTTTTTATCATGTAGTTTGGAAAATGGATTAGCATGGGACAGATAATCTACAAAGTGAAGTATTAATAAGTACCTCATTTAGCTTTGCATTAGGCCAGGGAGGGGGGAAAGAAAGGAAAAATGTACAGTAGGCATGAAG